TTTTTTTTGGAGTAATTATTTTGAACATTTTGTGCCTAGAAAAAAACACCAAAAAGTTGTCTGCAAACTTGAACTGTTCTCATCCTGTGTTAATTGCCGTACAGATACTGTAACAGTTCAGTTCAGTGTTCACTTACTGGAACTGTTGTGGTAAGTAATTCCAGTTTTTAAAAAAATGTTTCATTTTTGGGTGACAATGTTTCATTTGTATATTAACACTGTTTTATGGGAACTTTCTTTGGCTGTTGTTGTTAATATTAAAGCCAGAGTTTGTAATTCATCTTTGAAACCTGTGTCTAAATCTTTTCAAATAAACCCTCTTCATAATCAGTTACCCATCACTACCATCTCCAGATGTTGTGGATATTTGTATACCTGTTTCACTCATCACAGCTCAGGCAGTAACCCTACGTACATTATCAAGATTATCTGGACTTAAACAGTGATTCAGAATATCACAGAAATATGAACTAGTTGATGTTCTTTAATTATACATGTGTTATATAGGTTTTTCTAATTATTATTTTATCACATTTCTCTTAAAGCTGAACTCAGAAGTTGGCAGCCCTGAAATCCATGAATGAATGATGGCCATGCAACTCCTTCTTTCGCAATTCTTTTTCTTCTTTCGCAACCCCAACCCGTCAATCTTGAAATATTTTTACAACTCGATCACATGATATATGCAGTGTGTAACTGCAAAAAGTGAATTTCAGGTTTTTGACAGAACATGGAGACCACCTTCAAGGAAAACCAACCTTAGTATTCAATTCTTTTAAATGGGAATCAATATCAACTACATAATATTTAACTTGGACCGCAAGCAAATGAGGAAGTCAGCGGCGGGTGCCGGAAAACAAAGCAAAAAAAAAAAACCTTTCACCTTTGCAGCACGAAATATAGAAATATAAGCGCAATTTGTTGTTTCGTGCAGTGAAAGTAGCGTAGGCTAACTTATTTAATTTTTTTAAATTAGCATTTCTTTAAAAAACACACTTTTATTGACGTGCTTAATATGCAAAACAAGAGCAATTGAGCTTCATGAAATGGCTAACCCAGGCTCCTACACTTTCACTTTACCGAGTAGGTACGTACGTATTACTCTTCATTTATTATTATTTCGGTTAGGAAATTATGCTTTATTCCATATATTTTGAAACTGACTTAAACATTAAATTTAATAATTGAATTCAGTGATTTAAAAAGTTGTTTTTGCGATTTAGTCGTTATTCGAGAAAATACATTGAAGGGCAGATGTCTTCAAAGTTGAAAATGCAAAAGTAGTAATAATGAACATGTCTTTCCTTAATACAGAAGGCAAAACCAAGGTCGAGCAGTATAAATATCAAGAAGCTCCGACAAATTTGATTGGTATTTGCTTGCAGTGAATTTCCACTTTTCAGGTCAATTCAAATACGCAGGCGTACAATGAAACAAAATGGTGTTTATCAGAGGCTTTTTAAACGATTTTACACAGAACATGACAGTAAATATACAATAAATATGCTAACTAATAAATGTACGTGCTGTACATAGTGCAGTGGGTGGTTAACAAGATAACCAGCACAACTACCAACAGCGCAACTATTTTTTCAAGCTGTGCAGTGGCTTTGATTGGACATGTACAATTCTAAACTGAGAAAAACAGCGTACATCGAAAGAACAGTATGTGTGTAAAATACAATGTAAGGCAAATCTATTCTGCATTTTGGTCACACTTACACCGTAACTGTTATTGCTATAGTGGTGAGGCCACTATAAAATACCATTAACTGATAGTCTGGGGCATGTGTTTGGTATCTCTCTGTGGTAATACTTTAGTTGAAGCTGTCGTCAATAATGCATAATAGATAGCTTCATAATGGATAATAATGGTTTGTATAAGGCTGGCTGGTCGACAAACGTATTACCAATAAGATGTTCTAAAGGAATACTTGTGTATTTCTGTGCAGTCTGAACACATATGTTTGCTGTTTGCTTTGAGTCCCAGGCAACTGGGCTGCTTACAGAGGCCCGAGATTTCCCTACGCTTGACCGCATAATCATGAAAGACTGTTGAGTAGTGTTTCGTTATGTCTTGCATTGCAGGTTTTTTGGTCTGCATTCAAAGCACACACATCAGAGTGCCAACACTCCACCAACTGCTCTTGAATATGTCAGAAGTGGCAGGAAGGTTCTCATGGATGGACTCAAATTCCCCATTACGACAGCCAGACAGCTTAACAAGCATGGTATTCTCAGTGAAGAGGAACTCTGTGATATTAGAAGGCAATCTGGGGGGGCTGATGCAACTAGCAAACTGCTGGACATGGTCATTGCTAAAGGGGAGCAGGCCTGCTGTGAATTACTTCAGATACTGCAAAACAAAAGGCAAAATATGCTGGATATAGGGTTGTCTGAGTCAGTTAAAGCAACTCTGCAAAGTCTGGAAGAAGATTTACATCATTGGATCAACCACTTCTCAGGTAGGGGATCTGGTTTTTAATCCTGATAATGAACTTTAGTGTTACTAATGTCATTTATACCTCAATTCTCAAATCTGATTGGGCAGAACGATGTTGATTAATTCATTTTCCACATGTGCACACATTGTGCCAGCCAGGTGAATTACAGTTAATCAATCAATGTGCAATTACAATTATTAATTCTAACTAAGTATAACAAACCATGCATTACTCATTTTTAAACGCATGGTTACAGATGCAAAGAACTGCCTGGTAACTGCAAGCAGTGACTGAATGGTCCAAAGCGTCAGAAAATCATCCAGGGTGTAGAATCAGTAGAACAGTAATGTTGGAAAATGGTCTGAGCAGTAGGTAGAAATAGGCACCTTCCTACCTAATGTAGTAAGTCTAGATCTTACAGGTTAAGCTTTGTTTATACTGGCTGTGTGAACTTAGACTGTCTTGCATATTCAGAACAACATTGCTCTGTTGGGGGACTGCTCCAGATAACAGCACAACAATCATACTTTTGTGCATTTTGAAGACTGTCCCTTTAGACATGATTTTAGCTGCTTATATGAAATAGTATGTCAGTTCTGCTGTCACAACTGTTGTAACTCAGGCATACTTCATGAGCCTCCTCAGACTATTACAAAAGCATAAATGTCTGTGTAAGACAAATGTAGTCTATTCCAGTTTTACTAGCCTGAGTTGTAGTTTGACTATTTCCATTAGCCAAAGTAGCCTATGTATGCATTTGTAGTCCTACATTTAGTAATAGTAGTAAATACTGTGATGTAGAAAATTACCATTCGAAACCAAAAGTATAAAAATTAAACACAGTCTTCAGGAACAGCATTGATGTCTAACTATTTTGAAGGACTTTTTGGAAAACATTGCACAGAAAAGATACAGTCTGAGGAAGCTGTGATGCATTATTTTAAACACCATGCAACCTATACATAAGCAAATGGGACTGTCTGCTGATATATATATATAACAACCCTGGACGGGGGGCCAGCCCATCGCAGAGATTAT